CTTGGGATAGTACGCAGAACTGACGGCCGATGGGGCAGCAAGGTTCTGGAATGGAGGCCATGTACCGGAAAACGCAGCGTGTGACGTCCACCCACAAGGTGGACCGACGACCTGATAAAGGTAGCGGGAAGGCGCTGGATGCAGGCCGCTACCAACCGTGCGATGTGGAAGTCATTGGGGGAGGCCTATGTTCAGCAGTGGACGTCCTGTGGCTGAAATGATGATGATGATGTTTTAATAGCTGGATATACCTACGTTCCCGGTAACAAGGAGAATAGTCAGTAGGTAGTCCCTGGTGCCGATTTTTTAATAAGGAGTTGTTACCTTGATTGTTCTACTCTTGGATAGTTCTTGGTGTGACTCTTGCGTGACATTTGCCACGCCATTATGCTGCGCTATAGGTATTCCCGCAGCGTGCCGCCATTGATGTAAAGAGCTTGGAGCCTGAGTTGAAGGTCAGTAGAGTTTGATAGCAGAAGAATGGTAGTTCCAGTTGTTCCTAGTGGGACTCTGCGTGACATTTGCCACCATATATTCCCGCAGCGTGCCGCCATCGATGTAGAGAGTTTGGAGCCTGAGTTGAAGGTCAGTATGCTTTAATAAGACCACCTACTGTGGGGAAGTCAGTAATTCCAGCTGTTCCTGGTGGGACTCTGCGTGACATTTGCCACGCCACTGTGCTGCGCTATATTCCCGCAGCGCGCCGCCATCGATGTAGAGAGTTTGGAGCCTGAGTTGAAGGTCAGTAGTTTGATAGCAGAAGAAAAAAAGAATAGTTAGTAGTTCCAGCTGTTCCTGGTGGGACTCTGCGTGACATTTGCCACGCCATTATGCTGCGCTATAGGTATTCCCGCAGCGAGCCGCCATCGATGTAGAGAGTTTGGAACCTGAGTTGAAGGTCAGTAGAGCTTGACTGGTAGTCGGATATACTTTCCCCTAAGATGAAACTGGCTATAGTTGGTAACAAAAAGAAGTCAGTAGTTTCTGGTGGGACTCTGCGTGACATTTGCCACGCCATTATGCTGCGATATATTCCCGCAGCGCGCCGCCATCGATGTAGAGTTTGGAGCCTGAGTTGAAGGTCAGTAGAGTTAGCCCGACGGATTAGCAAGCTGAAGTGGCAATGGGCAGGGCACTAGTACGCAGAACTGACGGCCGATGGGGCAGCAAGGTTCTGGAGTGGAGGCCGCGTACCGGAAAACGCAGCGTGGTACACCCCCACAAGGTGGACCGACGACATCATAAAGGTAGCAGGAAGGCGCTGGACGCAGGCCGCTACCAACCGGGCAGCATGGGAAGCATTGGAGGAGGCCTATGTTCAGCAGTGGACGTTCTATGGCTGAGATGATGATGATGATGATGATGATGAGAGTTTGACAGAACTGAGAATTTGACTGTTCTGTCACTACCCGATGGCCACCCCGTTCCAGCTGTTCCAGGTTAGACTGCGTGACAATATCGGACCTAGTTATAAAGCCTGACCAGGAACATAAAAACCCTCGCCATGTTGCGGAAAACGAATGGTACTAATTTCTTTTAATGGCAACAATAACTGAAAACTTCATTGACATGTCACCTTGCATGTCAGTCTATTGCTGTCAAAGTGTAAACAAACTTTATTTTAAATGTGCGCAATTGATTTTGTGAATTAAATTGCTAAAATCTTTTTATAGTCGTGAAAGAAAAGTGGTTCACAATGTGTTAAAGTATTTGTCGAAGAGAAATACTAAGGGTTCGGACAATATTTTCATTAAACAATGTTTCCGACAAAGGTTGTCAAATTGACTGACATGTTTATCGTTCATATGAAAATATCCACTATGAAAATTAGCTGTGGTTTGTTTCAACTACCTTTTTTAATTTTTTTTTTGTCACTTTCTAAGTGTTGAATTCTATGGAATTTGGAAAGAAGTACCGAGTTTGAAGCGTTCATGAGCAGACATTGCAGTTGAATATTTAAGTTCTGAATTTGATTATTGATGAATAATAAAATAAATCCTACTAGCTCATTGATGGTTTCATTTAATTTATTTAAACCAGGTTACCTATAATAATATTTTTTCGTTAATTTATGAAAATATCAAATTAGCCTGTAATCCTAAATCCTGATACATAAAGTTAGCCTATTAATTTAACACAGGTACGACTGTACTCAGTGTTGCACTATCAAATGCAGTTGACGCGCCTCTATGCCAGGGTTTTTATGTTCCTGGTCAGGCTATACCAATAATATTTTTGTTAAAAGTTATTTTCATGTACTCCAAACGCTAGCCTTGTACTGTAATTATTAATCCACAACGATGATACAGGGGGTCGAAAATGGCCTGAAATGCTTCGAAAAAAGGATGGTACGGCCGTGCCGCTTTTTTGCTCGACTTGGTGGGGGCACGGCAGTGCTGATATTTCGATTTAGGGTGACTCATAAGAGTAAACACTGTCGATATTCGTATCATACGATACATAGCGATACTCGATTGTCTTTATCCTTCAATTAATATCTTGTTATCTTTTCACAGGCCAAGACAAAATATAATTTCCCCAAAGCAAAAGAGCTGTACTACAACAAAGGGCTCTAAAGAGATCGAAGCTGGAACTTTGTGCCATAGACTATTCTAAGATGACTACTGCCCTTCTGTGACCGCAGGCCGCTCGCACATTTACGACTTTGTCGCACGCAACGATAGAAAAGTCGGGCGGGATCAAACAATATTGAGGCTTATTTTAGAAACGCCTAAAGAGTATTTCGCTCGTCTTTATTTCTGATAAATGAGCTTACGTCCAATAATTCCAAAACAAGGTTTTTTTGCTACGATGATGGCAGTATATTTAGCGAAATTATATTTATTGAAACTGCCATCTTCCTATTTATTATTTGTCGTGAGTGTGTAGCGCGCCTTATTTGAACACTTGTTATATTGGCTATGCTATACACTAAGGTAAGCTATTTTAAGTGTTAGCCTAAAACAATTATAATAGTTCTCAATTATAATGATATGTATTAAATTATTCGTTAAACGGTTATTGATGTTGTTAATTTTAACATAAATGTTAGATTGTTAAGATTTCATGCAGGGCAAAGATTATCATAGACTTTAATGTTATTATTCATTCCAATTTTTAAACTTCCATTCCATTTATTTCTTTAAAATAATGTATATTATTATTAC